ATAAGTTGTACTTTATCACACTGGAATAAAGAATGAAAAAAACTCGACTATCAAAGGAATTTCAATCACATTTGAATCTAGCCAGAACGCTCATCAAATAGCATACCACTAGAAAGTAAATATCAAATATAAAATAAAATAAATAAATTCTGGACGTACTGGGTAAGTAACAGAATCATTGTAGAATTATTATTCTTCCATTCTGTTGTGACATGAGTTGTTATTTATTTTTTGCGGCTTCTGTATCCAAATGTTTTTGATTTTAATTTTACCAGTTTTGCCTTTCTCTTTCTCTTGGTTCTTGCCATTTTATACACACACACTCACACTGAGAAAAACCTTAAAATACACTGTATTTTATGGTTTTTTTTAATCGAATAACTAGCTGAATTTTTCTTTCAAAAAAAAAAAAAAAAAAACACAAACCACAAAAAATCACTCACAAAAATCTTTAATTTTTTTCTCTCTACTGGTGGATTGTTTTTTCATATTTTGGTTGTTAGAATTTCAACAAAAAAAATTCTTGGTTTCCCGTGTGTGTGTGTGTGTTCGGTTGAATGTCATCATCATTGAATGAAACCCAAATGAAATGGTTATGATACAAAAAAAAACAAGAATTTTGCAGACCAAAAAAATCCTTTTACCCCCTTCCCTCACTTACACACAATGTTAGATAAATTGAAACGAAGTAAAAAATGAAAAAAAAATAAAATTGTTACGGCTGCTGAACACATTTGTGAACATGAAGAATTCCTATTTTTTCAGTTTAGTTTAGTTTGTTCGTTCGTTATATGTGGATGATGATTTCAAATGATTTATGATCTCAAATGCACACAAACACACACACACACACACTGTGAACATCAATGTTTCGGATACAATTGCCGAGTGAAGAAAAAAAATTTTTTTGTTGCAAATCATCATCAAAGCGAAAAAACATCATTTTGTGGCATTCGCTTGCTTGCAGCATGAGAATCTGTACTGACAAACAAGCGTGGAAGAAAAAATGGAAAGATTTTCGATTTTGATTTCGATTTTTTTCTTCTTTTTTTGCCATCGCATCATCGTTCTTTCATTTCTGGTTTTTCAATTCATTTTCGTTATCTCTTTGAGCACATCTTTTTTTTTCTTTCTTCTACTTCCACTACCATCATCGTCATCATCACAACATTCAAAATATTTTGTTCCATTCATCTTTTACATTCATTCTCTATATTCCTATCGATCCATTATTATTTGAACGGAAACGGAATCAGACATGATTATTCACAAAAAGAAAAGACTAAAATTTTTCCTTTGATTACTTTTTCCGGTAACAATATCGAATCAAATTGTATTATTATCGCAGAAGGTAAGATTTGAAAATGGATTCATTCATTCATTCAGTATTTTTTTTGCAATGGTCATCAGAAAAACACAGAAACGATGCGGAATCAAATAGATTGAAAACAGAAAAGATTTTCCATTATTTTCCCTCATTCCCTCATCATTATTAGGGTAGTATATATATGATCCTTTAAAAAAAACCATGAAGAAAAACCAAAACAATCTGGTAATTATCTAAATCGTATGGTATATTTTAGATTGGAAAATTAGTAACCCGAAAACGAAAATCAACCACAAAAGAAGTTGCACTTGGAGAAATCAAAATAATAATGAGGACAGTTATTTAAGCTAGAAATTTCATTGGATCCAGGATATTAGGTTTTGGGTATTTTTTTTCTTGCAAAAAAGGCTGAAAAAATATTATCATTATCGGTTAAAGAGTTTTCTCAAAGTCATTTTTCAAATGATAAACACAAATGAGCATAATAATCATAATCAATTCCATCATCATCATATCTCATATGCATCAATGCTACTGCTGCTGACCATTATATTGTGTGTCAGCCAAAATTCATTTCACATTATTTATTATTATTATTGTTTGAAAAGGACAAAAAAAAGTTTGTTGTCTGATCCATATATTTTTCTCGATAGCAATCAAAAATGGAAGAAAAAGTTGATTTCATTCTGGTTTACATTACATTACAATTTTTTTTTTTTTTTTTCGATTGTTCAATGATGATGATGATGAATTGAAGAATCTTTTGTTATTCTATAATAATGATTCAGTTCGTTTTTGTTATATTCGTTGACATTTGTGTGTGTGTGTGTGTGTGAATGAAAAATGGGTGTGTGCATATACAGTATGTGATATATTAATATTATTATTATAATTCCATTTGATGACAAAGTTTTTTTTCCGCTTTCATTTTCATGAATCGTTGAAAATCATGATGATGGAAAGAAAACAACAGCCATGAAAATTGAAATATTAATATCAAAAAACGAATAGAATAAAATAGAATAGAATAGAAGGATCAATAGTTTTTGATCTGTGTCCACTATGTGTTTAATGAATGAAAATGGATGTGTTTTATTTAAGGTTTTAGGATATAAAAAAATTACAAGGGAGAAAAGAACGAAAAGACTTGATCTTTTTTTTTGCTACATTGTTGTTGCCATGATTAATTTTGATATAGCCAATACTTTTTTCTTTTTCATATAGTCATCATTAGTTCGTTGTCGTAAAAAACAAACAAAACAAAGTTCATATATACTGTGTTGTTTCTCTTTTAAGCCATTAGTAAAAATGTGCCCGTAATTTTTTGTTTCTTTGGAACGCTATCAGTAATATCAGTCATCATTACTTCAAGAAGACATTCTTCTAAGAAAATCTTTAACATTTATTTATCGTCAGTTTTTTATTATTGTTGTTATCATGAACATGGCCCATTTAAATGATTTTCAGTACATAATATGTAAATCTATACACTCTACTTTTTTTCTTTCTTTGCATGAAATCTTGTAATTTCTCATTCAAAGTAGAAAAAAAAGTGAATTACAGATAAATAACCAAACCAAACAGGATATAATACACATGATACTTATTAATATCGTGGATGGACATTCAATAATAATGATGATGATGATGATAATGAATATGAAATGGCAAACATGAATAAACAAACAAACGGAAATGTGTCATTACTATATATATTTCATCGATGGTGATGATGAAAACAATCTTTTGTTTCATAATCATCACAACCGAATAAGATGTTTACTTACTTTCTTACTTATTATCATTTTTTTTTTTTTTTTTTGTTATTCAACACAACAAATATTTACTGTTTCCAATATTTGTTTTTTGGCTCTATTGTTGTTATTTCGTCGTGGAAAATTTTTTTTTGTTATTCTTTCACATCTTTGACTCTTTTAAGCATATTAATAATTTTCAATACAAATTCCTATGAATATGGAGAACGGAAATGGAAATAGATTTTATGATGATGATGATTAAGGTTGTAAAAAAAGAGTTGTTTGTTGAGTGTTGAAAAACAAATTTTTCTGTTTTTCAGAATTGTTATTGTCGTTTTGTTTAGATGTCCAAAATTTGACATGGATAAAAATGATACACACATAGAGACACATAGAAAATTACATTGGTTTCACTTTAATCCTTTTGTTTTGTACGATTTGCACGTTTTACTTTACTTTGTTTTTTTTTTTTCGTCTTTACATTTGAATACAATTGTATGAAATAAATAACAAAGAGAATATCAACAACAAAATATAGAGAATCCAGACCATATAGATCTGAGCTGAATATTTTTGAATTTCCGCTTTTTCATATCATTTTCTTTTTATTGACAGGTTATTATTATTATTATTATTATTATTGTTGTTGTTGTTGTTGTTGTTGTTAATAAAGATTCATTCGTTTGCTCCTTTTTTGGAAGCTCATAGACTGTGACTAGATTCATTTTATTTCAAGTGTCCAGCAGTGTCTTTGGGACATTACCATTATTATTTTTACGTTGAAATGCTTAACTCTTATTATGATGAAGCAAAGGAAAAGCATCCATTTTTTCTCTCTCCTTTCTTCATCATCATCATCTTTTTGGATCTTTATTTTGCTCATTTTCTCTCTCTCTCTCTCTCTCTCTCTCTCCATTTGGTCAAACCGAAATAATTTTCTTTTCATAACTTGCTATTATTACACACACACACACACACACACACACACACACACACACACACACATATATTTGGCTGTCGTCGTCGTCGGTATTTGTTGTTATAAAAATCGTCATAAATCATATTGTAACCCGAAAACAAGCAAAAAAAAAATTATTAGAAATAAACTATACTAGTAGACTAGTAGATAACCGTATATAGTACTACTATTTTACTACTAATAGATAGGCAAGCGAGAAAAATGAAAAAAAGTTAAGAATTAAATGAGGATAATGATAATGATGATGAGTCGCCATTTGGCGAAAAAAAGAAAAAGGCAAAAAACAAACAGGAAAAGATATACGTCGTGAATGAGATTTATTTGATTTTCTATAAAATAAGTTATTCGAGTTGAAACATAGAAAAAATGAATACTTGCACAGTAAAAAAAAAAAAAAACACCGTAACTTTTTTCGTTTCGCATCTCTTATCTTATTCAACCTAACAAATTATGACGATGATAATGATGATGAGCACGGTTATTATTATTTAACCATAAATATACCCGATTCCATATTCTGTGTCTTATCGTTTTTTTACTCTTTAGTTCATTGTTCATTTGTCTGCCAGAAATTTGAAATGTTTTAATTTTTTTTTGTTGTTTTTGTTGTTGCTATAATCTTTTCCAATATTAATGGGCCCTTTGAATTTTGAGGTTTCCATTAACAATCCTTGTATGAGAATGAATCGCTAGTAATCATAAATATGTGTGTGTGTTTGTGTGAAAATAAAAGAACCTGAATTCAGTCATATTTATATGGTATTTGTCATCGTGCCAGTAGTCATTGGATGGGAATGTTTAGTTAGGAAATATTTCGCCACATTAAAACACTTGTTACCAAACTAACTTGTTTTCTTTTTGGTCATTTCCGTCAATTGGTACTCGGGACAATAGTCATTAGTTTTTTTATTTTATTTCTAACAAATAATTCACTTACCAATGCGAACTTGTCTGGTGGATGATGATGATGATGATGAGGAGGAGGATGAAGAGGATGGATTCAAAAATGGATTCAATATATTTAATGATGATGATGATGATGATTGTGATGATGCGGCTGATACAATCGATGATTGCGTTAATGATTGTGATGCGGATGACACGGCCATAGTTTGAGACATTTGAAATTGTTTTTCAACAATAATGATCCATATGATTATATATACAATTGTTATTGCAATTCGTATTATTATTGAAAAATTTAGCCGATTACTCATCATCATCATTATCATTGACTTTGTTGATGATCGATAACCCTGATGATATTTTTTTTCTTTATGTTTATTTCGAATATTGAATGGTAATTTGAATAATAATATCAATAATATCAATAATAACGTCCTAAAGGCATGATTAAAGAATTTTTTAAAAAAAAAATTTCCATAATAAAATATTCCAATTGAACAATAATCATCATCATCATCATTAATGTTATTATAAGGCAGCATTAAGATATTATTAAATCCTAGTTGTTCATGATGATCATAATGATTATTTGATGATGGCGCTAATGATGAGGATGATAATCTTGATCTTGTTATTGTCGCTGTCGTTGTCGATTTCAATTTCTTTCGTTTTTTTCTTACTGATGGTTTTTTTTTCTTTCCAACACTTTCCATTGTCGATGATGATGATGATGATGATGATAAATCAATCGTTTTAAAAGATAAATTTGTATCATTCTTTTGTCGTGGTGATTGTTGTTGCTGTGGCTCATTCGATGATGATGTTGATAATAACATCATTGAATTTTTTTTTGTTTCACTATAAATGACATACAATTGGCAGCTATATGTTGATGATGATGATGTTAATTTTGAATGATGGTTGATAATAATGTTTTTTCTCGTTTCTCCCACACACACACACACACGTTCAAAAGGCACGAAAGATTTTTTCTCGGTCTTCAAAATTAAAATCCTGAAAATAGAAAATAAAAATTTGAAAAATAAAATAGTAAAAACGAATAAACAATCCTCTAAAGACATGGACATTTCCAAACAAACAAACAAATAGATAAAACATCTATGTGCAGTTTTAAGCAAAAAAAAACGAAATGAAATCTGAAATGAAAATGAAATCATGTGATACTAAGAAGAATTTTGAATTCCCCCTTCAGACTTATGATAAGACAGTCACAGCCGCGATAACTACCATTCTCTGTCTTTTTCTTTTTCTTTTCTTTTTTTTTGTTTTGTTTTGATTCAATTCTATTGTTGTTGTCAATGTGTGTGTGTGTGTCTTGTTTTCTTTTTTTCATGATACGATTTGATACACCGTATATACAAAACCGAAACAAACAAACAAAAAATTCATCCGTTTGAAATGACAAAATAGTTATTTTCTTTTCATGTTCCCAAGTGTATTTGAATTCGTGATAGGAAAAAAGAACGAGCCTAATAGAATAATATTGGAGTCACACATACACGCAGCAGTGAGATGATAAGATTTACAACAAAAAGTTCAAATTCGAAGATATGGTGAAAAAATATAGAATTTTGATCCTGAATCGGGTGTAGAATTGACACTATTTGTTGTTGTCGAAAATAAGATGATTTCCGGCGCCGACAATATTCCTTCGATTCACGCCAGAGAGATATATATTTTTTCACCATTACAATCAACCAACCGTTGACAAAGGCAACAAACAACAATGACCGAAAAAAATGAACAATGAATGAAATCCAAAAGATTTCAAACATTTTTGAAATATTCGATAAATCGATTTACTGTGAATTTTTTCTTTTCTTTTTCCACAAAAGTTCTTTTGTACTTTCTTTTTGGTATTGTTTTGTTTGGTTGAAGAAAAAATATTCATATTTTTCGTTTCGCTTTTCTTGTTGTTGTTGAAACTTTTTGTGGTATTTGAATAACAAGAAAAAATAAAAATAAAAAATAAAAATCTTGTGTTATCTAAATGTGCTTTCCTTTTTAACGGAAAACGAAATCGTGTTAGCAAATAGTGTAAGAACAATGAATGACATGGCCTATTCAAAGAATGGTCTTTGACTCTGAATACAAATGAAACCGGATGGATATGCATGATCGGCGCGATAGGTGATGTTTTTTTCTTTTCTTTTCCGTATAAAGTTGAATTTAATCGTCGTAAACAAACAAATAACAACAACAACACCGAAGAGAGACATGAAAATGAAATTTAATGTCCAAAGAATTTTTTATTTCTTTACTTTTTTCTACCCTGATTTTTCAAAAGTAATATTTTACTTTTGTTTTTTTTGCAATAAAATAAATATATATTTAGATTGACATTGACCATATACATGTATAACGGTGATATAACAGTGATATCTTCTGTGTATACACGACCATAATTCACATTCCAAGATTCATACGCAGAGACAAACAATGATTTAAAATAAAATAATTTTCTTTTGTAATTCAACGAATAAAATGAAAAAAACTGGGCTGTCATTTCAAGCGTAAAAAAAATGTTGCACACCCACACACACACACACACACACACACACACACACACAGGATAACAAACAAATATAAGGCATCGACCGTAACGGCTGAATATTGAATCCGTTAGTTGTTTTTTAGGCTTTCAAAGTCAAAACAAAAAGCTTGAAGAACAAAGTACTTGGCCTCATGATTCCGGAATTGTTATGAATATTGAATTCAAATCTGTTTGGCTAGCTTAGACATCATCAACATTGTCTTGACCGTTTTTTCTTGGCCAAATTCAAATTTTTCATTTTTTCCAATTTTTTTTCGTTTTCAAATTCCATGTCCGAATATTGCATTAACAAATATTTTCTTTTTGGGAAGCAGACAGTACAAAAAATGGCCAATAATTGCACATTCTTCAAATCATCAATCGATGATGATGTGATTGTTCTGAAACTTTTTGTTCTTTGTTCCAGCATTTTAAGAAATTCTTGTCAAGATTTTTTTCTTTTTTTTCAAGAAAAAAAATGGAACAAAGAAACCGATAATGTTGTCAATGATGTATTGGCCGCCACCATCAAGAAATGGTAGTGAAAACAAATGCCTTGAAATGCCCAAAAGCATTTGGGCATTAGAAGATTGCAGCCACACACACACACACACACATACGAAGAAAAACCGGCACTGAAATTTTCAACGAACCGGAAAAAATGGAAAGAAAAGTTTCGAATAACACAAAAAACCGAAAACATTCAAATTGTTGAAAAACGACGACAACGACGAACAAAAAAAAAAAAAGATATGTGCAAAATGCCCACCACCACCAGTGAATAAAAATAATTGTAACAGAATTCATGTCAATTCATTCATTTGGACTTTTTTTATTTTATATTTCGAGATCCATTTTTAGTGAAACTTTTATTCTCTCGCCATTTTTCGAAATACAAAATACTGGAATGAATCAAAAGTTTTATTTCATTTCATTTTTTTAAATCATAAAATTTTTTTTCAATTGAATTGTGTGTGTACTGTTTTCCACGTTGTTGTTGTTTTTGTTGTTGTTGTTGGTTTTTTTTTGGTTTTTCATAAAAAGTTTGCAAACAAAAAAAATTGATGCAAGCAACTAAACCAAAAACCAGAATCGAGGGACAAGAATGAGAAAACTGAAAGAAGAAAATTGTCACACAATCAATGCATTATGCCACGGAATGTGTGTGTGTGTGTGTTTGTCATTATCATCATCATCATCGTCGACAAACATTAACATTAATAGCAGCATGAGAATCAAGAAAAATTAAATGGAAAGAACAGCAAATTTTTATTTTTCGGTCATAATGAATTCCGCACTTTATTCGTTTCTTTGGTCGAAAAAAATTTTTTAAAAATTTTAAAATGTAAATGTTGTAACTGTATTTGAAAGGCAAATTTTTTTTCCACACCTGAAAAGTGGAAAACAAAAATTGTCAACCACCAAATGTGTGACAAATCAAATATTATGGTTATTTTCATTTCGGCGGAAATTTGTAAAAAACAAAACAAAAATGAATTTTTGAATGTTAAATTTGATTGATGATAAACAATCAATCCAATCAATGGATTTGTGTGTGCCATTCATATCGATATGGAAATTATTCACTATCATTCGCGATGATGGTGAAAATGAATGAACAAAAATCTAGCGTTACAAATGTAAAAGTTTTCTATTTTCGACACGTTCACGTTTTTGTTCACTTTCACTTTAATTTCATTCTTTGTTGTTGCTAGAATTTGTATTGCTATTTTGCATATTTGCTTATTCGATGCTAAAATGAAAAACCCATACTGTTGTTTAATGTTTTCTGGTGAGAGAAAGAGAGAAAGAGAGAATGATAGAGAGTGAGTGAGAATTCTCATTTACATGGGCGTTATATTCGATTCGATTCGTAACTGTAATTCACTTAATTGATATTCATTAGTCAATTATTATTATTATTATTCGACGAGAATGGAATGAGAAAAGTTTTTCAGCACATGGTTTGAAACCCAGAAATACTTACGAAAAAAATTGACCGCCCACTTTTATTGTAAATCTAAATGGATGGTCCATGTGGTTGTGGTGGTGATAAAAAAAAATTAAATAGAAATGAATATAAATACTGAATAGTGGGTTGTTTTTTTCTCTTTCTCTTTTTTGCTCAAAAATCGAAATTCGAAAAAAAGAGAGTTAAAACAATGCAAATTGTGAATGTTACAAACATACAAAAATGAATCAATGATTTTCATTTAGATTTCTGCTCTGATGATGATGATGATGATCGACCAGTTTTTTTTTGTTGAGATGAAATCTGTTTTTTGTTGTTCAACCATGTTCCATGTGGATCACAAAAGGTCTGTTACAAAGAATTTTGTTATCTTTTTGGAAACTTTCTTTTCCTTTGATTTCACCTTATACCTAATCATCCATCACGGTCATATATGTTTTGATGATAAAAAACAACTCAATGTTATTGTTTTGCCTATCGATACAATCGTTATTATATTGTTATGCTCTATGAATGACTATGAATAAAAAAATTTCTTATTGAGAGAAACTCATCATGTTCATTATTATATTTTATATATATGATATATATGATTTCTATTCATATCATGTATACATCAAAACATGATAAATACACTCTTTTCCAATAGTATTTGGCCATCATCATTAATGATTCGAGATTTTTTTTAACTATTTACATGTTTATGTATGTATGTGGGTGGGTGTGAGAAAAATTTTCAACAAAAAAATTCTTCTTATTTTCCCTACAACACATCCCTTAAATATCGTGTATGTCTATCACCTT